CTTGAGCTCAAGGACATCCTAGAGATTTCCAGCAGCGGCAAGCTTGGCGACAAGGACATGGTGATTCTGGATGTGCGGCGGCCCGATGAGTTTGGCAGCGGACACGTCAAGAACGCAAAAAACGTACCGGTGCAGGAGCTGGGCCAGGCGCTTCAGCTCACGCCAAGCGAGTTTGAGGCCAAGTATGGGTTCAAGCTACCAGCAAACGACTCGCAGACGGGCGTAGCTGTGCACTGCATGCGGGGTACTCGGGCTCAGATGGCTGCCAGTCTGCTGGCAGAGGCCGACTATAAGGACAACTTGTATGTGTATCTCCCGGGCTGGACCGAGCTGGCCAGTGCTGCTGACGCTCAGATCGAAACGCTGTGATTTCGATCATTCTCTGTTTTACTATTTTTATTTCCTTTTTATACACTATATAAAGTTTTGAATCTAGAGGCGGAATGTCAGTTTTGAGCGTACTAGCTGGCGCAGGCTGGCTGCTGGGGCTGGCGTTTGTGGTGTTTTCGCTGGCGTGTGGGCTGTACGTTATTTCAGAGTGGGTCGAGGAGTGTCCGCGGCAGACTCGGCAGCTCATTCAGTACGCAGTGTGGGCAGTGGACGCAGTGCATGTGCTGGCGCTGCTGGACGGACTAAGTGTGTGGCGGATATGCGTATCAGCGGCAGCTAACCATGCATATGCACTGAACCTGGAGCGGTTCCCGCTGGTCAGCTTGAGCAGTGCGACGTTCCTGGGCAGCTGCGTGCTGGCAGTGGGCAACCACTTTATGTGGTTCTTCTACTTTATCCGACATCTGAGCTTTCCATTCGACCAGGTGTGTACGTTTATGTTCTTTGGCGTGTGGCTGGTGCCACTGGCGCTATTTGTGTCGCTCACCCCTATGGATTCCGAGCTTCCCAGCGCTCAACACGTGGATACGCCGAAATCTCGCCAAAACATGTTTAAAGCGTTGTTGGCTCGGCTCTGGCGTTCTAACGAAGAGCTTCCACAATCGCTCCACGACGAATGAAATGCACGAATAAAATGCGCGTGTCCTAGTTTCCCACCAATTCTTCTTTTTTTCCCTTCCTCCACTTTTCCGTGTGACCAATTATTATTACTGTAATTTGCTTTATATTAAATGACCATTCTCTACTCGAAAGTTGTTCCGCAGAGCGGTGGCGACGGCGAGACGCCGACACGGCGCTTCCATACGTCGGTTGACAAGCTGGTGGACAGAGCCGACCCTGATATTACCAATATCTACGCGGCTCTGCTGGAAGGCCAGAAGACGCGTCCCGACGCCGAAGTCTTGGGCAAGCGCGAGGTGCTGGGCACAGTGTCAGAGGAGAAGCAGGTGCAGCACAAGGTCAATGGGAAGATGGAGACTGTGACCAAGAACTGGAGCTACTTTAAGCTCGGCCCGTACACCTGGATGACCTACAACGACATTGTCGAAACGACCACACAGCTGGGCGCTGGGTTCCGCAAGCTCGGTGTTGAGCCCAAGGGCCGCGTGGCTATTTACGCGCCGACCTCACGCGAATGGCAGCTGTGTGCATTTGGGGCGTTTTCTCAGTCAATGCAGGTGGTTACTGCGTACGATACGCTGGGAGAGAGCGGATTACTACACGCAATGAACCAGGCCAAGGTCGAGGTAGTCTTCCTCAAGGCGGACCAGATGCCTATTCTGGCGCGCATCATGGGCGAGATTGAGACGGTCAAGCATGTTATGTACTTTCAGGATTCGTACGGCATGCCTGATGGCTGCGCCGAAGCGATTGAAAAGGTCAAGGCCAAGTTTAGTGTGCACACGATGGACGAGGTGTGTGCGCTAGGCAAGGCCAATCCAGTTGATCGTGTGATACCTGATGCACAGGACCTGGCGCTTGTCATGTACACCAGCGGCAGCACTGGCAAGCCCAAGGGCGTGCTTATCGGCCATCAAAATGTGATGGCGGTGGCTGGCGGCATCCACAAGTTCATTGCGCCATTTATCGACTACACACAAGATATCATTCTCTCGTATCTGCCGCTGTCACATGTTCTGGCGTTCTTTGTGGACACATACTGCATCCAATCTGGTATCCGCATTGGCTACGGCACGCCGCGTACCCTGACCGACGAGAGTGTGCGCGAGTGCCAGGGCGACATCAAAGAGCTGCGTCCAATGGTGATGATGGGCGTGCCGCAGGTGTGGAACACCATCCGCGCCGGCATGTTGAAGCAGGTGAACAAGAGCAGCTGGCTGGTGCGCAAGCTCTTCTACAACGCCGTCGATCTGAAGAATACGCTGCGCAGCCACAATCTGCCGCACAACTTTATGGACAACATTGTGTTCAAGAAGACGCGTGACGCAACAGGCGGTCGCCTCAAGTTTGTTATCACAGGCGGTGCTCCGATCAATCGCAACGTGCAGAGACTGATGAACGCCGCGCTGTGCCCAATGATCCAGGGCTTTGGCATGACCGAGGCGTCCGGTCTGCTGTCGGTGCAGCTGCCCGACGACCCGACGTTCAACAATGTCGGCGCTCCGTGCCCGTCGGTCGAGATGAAGCTGGTCGATGTGCCAGAGGCCAAGTACTTTGCCAAGAACGGCAAGGGCGAGATCTGGGTGCGCGGACCGTCGGTCTTTAGGGGATACTTGGACAACGACGAGCTTACGCGAGAGACCATTACCGAAGACGGGTGGCTCAAGACGGGCGACATTGGCGAGTGGACCAGCCAGGGCCAGCTGAGCATCATTGACCGCAAGAAGAACCTTATCAAGCTTTCTAGCGGCGAGTACATTGCGCTCGAGGCTCTCGAGTCGACATACAAGAACTCGTTGTACATCCACAACATTTGTGTGTTTGCCGATTCGCGTATGTCGCAGCCCTGTGCAATCGTCAACATTGACGAGAACCAGATTGCGCAAATGGCCGACAATGCTGGCATCCACTACAACAACCCGAGCGAGATTGCCAACGACAAGGCGTTTATCCACGCTGTGCTGGCTGATCTGCAGCATGTGGCCAAGCAAAATGGTCTGAGCAAGCAGGAAACTCTGGCTGCCATTCAAATCGACGATGAATTGTGGGCGCCAGAGAACAATATGCTTACTCCCGCGCAGAAACTCAAGCGCACGGATATTCGTGAGCGCAACCAGGAAAAGCTCGACCAAATGTACAACCAAATGGGTCTCGAGTAAGCTATCTCTTTTTCTTTCTTTCTAATTTTGATCTTTAACCAGCAACTAATAATAATTCCAAAAAAAACTGCAAAATACTAACCGTCTTCGACTATTTTAAGTTTCAATAGCTAGAAAAAAAATAGCAAAAAGGATGCCACCTGCCAGAATTGAACTGACGACCTCTCCCTTACGAGGGGAGCGCTCTGCCCCTGAGCTAAGGAGGCTTTGAATAAAGCTAAATTAGCTTTTTCAATGTTTACACTATATCCTTAGCATTGTTTATAAATATTTACTTATTTATCAGCGTTTAAAGGGGGTTTTTGAGCGAAACAACGTTGTTTAGAGGCTTGCAGGCACTTTATAAATTCAATATAACTACACTATATTTGTAGTCCTCATGTTATACATTGGTTATCCACGTATAATTCACTTCAAGCAACTGTAACTACTGGGCGAGTTTAGCACTTATCATGTGGCCCTGCCCCTAAGATACAGTTCCCCTTTGGGTTTATCAGCAACTCTCCTCTAGCTCTGCCATAATATTATTGGGCCCAGTAGCCTGCTTTCAAGCAATCACAATGTCAAGGAGATTAAATACCAATGCCATGGTCGCTTATTCAGCTTCAGTTATGTCACTTCAGCGATTATTGCAGACTCTGCAGTAACATCTCGTTGTGCGTGTACGTCGACAGTAATATTATTCAATTGCTGCGCGCAAGTCTGTCGCTGTTGAGCGGATGGGTGCTGCAGGGAATATCTAGGCGAGGAAGAACCAGACAGACAAGCAATTGCTGAATTGTGATCGGTCGCGGAAAATCCTGCAGTCAATACGTACCACATTGCAACAATTCCCTGCATTTGCCGCCAGATGAATGCGTCTTTTCGCAATTGATGACCGCCATAGCTGGTCCCGATTACCATTCCAAAGCCAGGTTGTAACTGCTTGCTTGTGAAAATTAATAGGCATGCGTTTAGTATACGCAATTGCTTGCTCCCAAAAACGTGAATTATGTTCTGTTAAACATACTAATATTTGCATCTGTGCTTGGTGCCCAAGCGCGCCTGCTGCTTGCGAGGCCAAAGTATTTTATGCTCAAAACTTTTTTGCTGCCGCTCATCCTGTTTGCGCGCATATTTTAAAATGCCAATATAATCATATTCCGCATGCTCCACATCCAATAAATGGGGTGTAAGGATAATGTAATTAATTTGCAACATGTATGTATGCCCAGCGCAGTTTGTCTGTTTAAAATTGTAATAAACACGCTTGTTCACTGTTGCGGACAGACTTGCTAGCGTTGCACAATGTGGCTGATCTGAGGTAAAAAAAACAACTTGTAATATCTACTCGGATGGAATCGGCAATTGGTGTGTTGTCAAATAAAATACAGTAAATTGTATTGACACAATTTTTAAAACATTTTAATAATGTGCTTTGATGTTTAAATATACTGCAGTTGTCATAGCGGCTGCTCATGTTGCTAATGCTATTTTTGTTATTTAATATTTGTAGCGCATTTATAATTGCACAAACACCAATTTCTAACTTAATAAATACTGATGCCACCACATTAACATCATATTCTGTGACAGGCAACTTCACAAATGATTACCAGCTGTTGGATACTAACGGGGCTCGGCATCACGCCTGAGCGCTCAATCACATTGTCTGCGCCGTGAGTCCTCAGAGTTTTTGATATATGAGCTGACTCTATAGCGCCTCCCGCAAAAATACAACGTTGTTTCGTTCAAAAACCCCGTTTAAATGCTGGTAAATAAGTAAATAGCTATCAACAATGCTAAGGATAATGTGTAAACATTGAAAAAGTTAATTTAGCTTTATTCAAAGCCTCCTTAGCTCAGGGGCAGAGCGCTCCCCTCGTAAGGGAGAGGTCGTCAGTTCAATTCTGGCAGGTGGCATCCTTTTTGCATGTTTCCACGATTAACATGGTCATGACGCAATTGTTTATATTTTTTTTTAGTTGCTGATCCCTTTTTTACTATTTAGAATTCGAAAGGTATTGGTAATTTCAAAACCCAAAACAAAGGCATTTTTATTTCTTTATTGAGATACCAGGGGAATGCGTGGCATTCAGGACCATACACAGGAAGGTAAACATATTACAAAAGCACAGCGCCGCCCATTGTTCAGATCAAAAGAACCTGTATACCAAGCCGGCGTTTGCCAAAAACAGAACTAGAGCCGAGGATAATAAAGCGGCGCATACATCTGCACGTCCAAATTCGGTTGTTATCCCGTTTACAGAAGCAAATAATACATCTGGCCCAGGCATGTATTAAATTGGAATAGGCCTAGGCTTTTAACACGCGGTGTTAGGAGTTTGGGAGGCGTGGGCTGTGACATTATATTTGAACCAATAAGGACCCACCATCCCTTTTCCCTGTTTTCTTGTTTTCCGTTGCTCTTTGAAAAACTACTTTCTTTACCTTCTTACCTTTTTGTATTTGCATTTTTTCCCAGTCCCTTATTACTTATCCACACTAGAACCTCTTTTTCTTTGAAAAACCTGTCGACGCGGCGGTGGGGCTTTTCCTTCTTTTTGCTTTTGGCAGTTTTTGCTTTTGGCAGTTTTTGTATTTTACGGCTTTTGGATATAACGCACTAACGACATATTGATGGGACTGTTTTCATCGTGTTTTGGCGAGGTGGACGACTTTGACAGGATTCGGAGCCGGCGGGTCAACAAAGCGATGATTGGAGCGCCCAGCAACTTTGTGGTAAGCAGATTGCATAGACCATTGATTTTGTTTACGGATCTGCAGCTGAATAAGAAGGCTTGTAGCATACGGGGCATCTCGGGATGAATACGGTTCAGGATGGCGGGCTTCCACCAGCCAAAGACGTAAGTGATAATCCATAATACGCCATGCGTTACATGGGGTTTTTTCATATATGCGGTGCATGCATTTTATATTTTGCTGATTGTGGTTGGTGTAGCCGGAGAAGCTCAAGGCGCTCATGTCACAGGTCAGCGCAGCGTTGGACGAGGAGTCGTTGTTTGGCGGGTCGGATGACACAAAGCGGATGCCAAGCGTTGGCATGGCATGCTGATTCGGTCTCTGGCGTGCAAAGGGAGTTTAGTCGGACTAGTTCAAGGCGTGGGCTTATTCTTTTTTTTTCAAGTGTAGATTTCAATATATTGGCTTTTCTTCCTCCCAAAAACACGATTGTTTAACAGGGGTTATTCATTCCCAGCACGAGATCTGCATCAGTGACCTCCTTTGATGCTGCTGGGAAATCCGCATGTCAGCAAGGGAAATTGAAAGGACGATGCCATGCGCACAGACTAAAACCCAAAGTTTCTTTTGCAGTGCGAAATAAAAGGCACCTTTTCATTGCTTTCCTTTCTTCTTTCTCTTTACTGAATTTCAAAGAATTATTATTATGGCGAACAAAACTACACCAAGACAAGAGTTTCCGACGCACGGGCTGATGCCACGGGGCGAGACGCAGGCAGCGGAGTTTGTGCGCAAGTACCCGCAATACGATGGTCGTGGTGTTGTGGCTGCGGTGCTGGACACGGGGATCGACCCTGGAGCCAAAGGCCTGCAAGTGACGAGCGAAGGGAAACGCAAGGTCGTTGATTACATTGATTGCACGGGCTCAGGCGACGTGGAGCTGAGTGACGTGTGTGCAGAGGAGCTGACGCTGAAAGGCGCGAGCGGTCGTACGCTGCGGCTGAACGCAGAGTGGAAGAACCCAACGGGCGAGTGGCGAGTGGGCGCCAAGCGCCTGTCCAGACTGCTTCCAGGCGAAGTGTGGATGAGCGTATCGGCAGAGCGCAGCCAGCGCTTCCGCAAGAACGCCCAGCAACTAACCGACGCTGTGCTGGCCAAGAAGGGTGCTGTCCAAGACAAGGACCAGGGCAAACTCTCTGAAGTCTCTAAAGTCTCTAAAGTCTCTGAAGTCTCCAAAGTCTCTGAAGTCTCCAAAGTCTCTGAAATTAGCGCAAAGTCAATCAAGACCAAGGACTCAGATACGAGCAAGAACTTGACCGAAGAGCTGGACGCGCAGGTTGACGTGCTAAAGACGCTCAACGGTGCATATGCGGACCTTGGACCGCTTCTGGACTGTGTCGTGTTCCATGACGGCGAGCAGTGGCGCGCGGCCATTGACGTCGACGAGAGCGGCGACTTGAGTGCCGCGGCAGCACTGGGTGCGTACAAGCACACAAGCGACGTGGGCGAGCTGTGCAAGCGGCAGCTGTTCTACTACACGCTCAACTTTTACGACGAGGGACGCACCCTGAGCATCGTCACGTGCGCAGGGTCTCATTCCACACATGTGGCAGGGATCCTGGCGGCTCACCACCCGGAGGAGCCGCAGAACGACGGCGTGGCTCCGGGCGCTCAGCTGCTGTCGCTGATGATCGGTGATCACCGTGTGGGATCAATGGAGACCGGTGTTGGGCTGACTCGTGCTGTTAACGCTATTGTCGAGTACGGTGCAGATGTGGCAAACATGAGCTACGGCGAGCCGTCATCTTCGCCCAACGTGGGCCAATGGGTGCAGACCGTTGCGCAGGAGGTGGTCCGCCGCCATGGCTGCGTGTTTGTGTCGTCGGCCGGAAACGAAGGCCCTGCGCTGTCCAGCACTGGGTCGCCCGGCGGCACCAGCGATGGCTTCATTGGCGTCGGTGCACATGTCGGCTACGACCAAATGCTGGCTGAATACGCAATGTACGAGACCGTCGGCGACACTGTGTTTACATGGAGCTCGCGCGGTCCAACGCCCGACGGTGATCGCGGCGTTGACGTGTACGCGCCAGGCAGCGCTATCACCAGCTTCCCTGCGTACTGCAAAGAGCGGCTGTGTTTGCGTAACGGCACTAGCATGAGCTCGCCCAACTTGTGCGGTGTAGCTGCACTTTTGGTGTCGGCGTGGAAGCAGGAAATGGGCGGTGCATCGCTCAGCCCATACCGTGTCAAGAACGCTATTGTGTCCACCGCCAAGCCAATTGGCGAGCTGCATGGCGCCGGTATGGTGCAGACCGACTCTGCATGGCAGTTCCTCAAGCGCTATGCTGCACGTGCTGCCGAGCAAGTGAGCTGGCGTACGCATGTCGATGACTCACGGCGTGCACGCGGTATCTACTTGCGTAACGCCGAGGAGTCTGCTCATGCGCGCTTCTTCAACGTCAGCGTTGTGCCAGTGTTTCCGACCAGCGAGAAAGCTCGTTTGGAACACGACAGCGACGGCGAAAATGGCCGTTTAGAGTCTCAGACGCAGTTTGACTTTGAACAGCGGTTGTTGCTGGTGGCCACAGAGTCGTGGGTGTCTGTGCCCGATGCTCTGTACGTAGCCAGCCAGGGCAACAAGTTTGCAGCTCGCGTCGACGCTACAAAGCTTCAGGCCGGTCGCCTGCACACAGCGTCTATTGATGCATACGATTCGACGGATGTGGACCGTGGGCCGGTGTTTAGCATCCCAGTCACCGTGACCAAGCCCCTGCATGTGGACGCATCGGCCTGCGTTGATCTGGGCACCCTGCAGTTCCGCCCCACCGAGATTGTGCGTCGCTTTGTGGCGGTGCCGCCCGGTGCCACTCGCGCCCACATCGTACTGCGTGCATCCAATGCGGCTGCGCTCGAGTCGTCGCCAGCGCTGTTCTACTTGCACTGCATGCAGCTGGAACCAGCTACACGCTTCCGCAAGTTCTTTATGCGCGAGCGGGTCAGCATTGGCCACAAGTCGTATGGGGCGGGCGGTGGCAGCGCAGAGCAGAAAGAGACAAAGACTATGGACGTCATTGGCGGCGCCACGCTTGAAGTTTGTCTGGCGCAGTTCTGGAACCAGCTGGGCGCTCATGACATTGACGTTCGCGTCGAGTTCAACGGTATTGTTCCGGCCAACGGTGGCGGTGCGCTGGCCGAAGGCGGTCCTCTGCGTGCTGGCATCACTGTGCATGGAAGCAATGCTGTTGCCCGGCTTGACTTTATTGCACCAGTGCGCCCTGAGTATGACGTCAGTCCTTCTATTGTGCTGACCAAGGCCCGCAAAACACTGCGTCCGCATGAGGCTGTTATTTCGCCTCTGGGTGCTGAGCGCGACACGCATCTGGCTACTGGCTCCGCTCTGTACAAACTAGAACTGGACTACCGCCTGGAGACCACGCGAGAAGAGACCCAGCTATGTCTGCATATGCCGGCCGTCGATACGCAAATCTACGAAAACTGGGCCGACAATTTTGCGCTGGCTATCTTTGACGCCAACAAGCGCTACCTGATTTCGCAGATCAGCTACACAAGCCCATTGCTTATCAAGCAGTGCGGCGAGAGCCTGGTACGCGTGCAGATTCGCCATCGCTCAGCCAAAGACCTCGAGGCGCTCAAGGACATTCCGCTGCTGGTTGATGTTGTGCTAAAGTCGTCCATAAGGCTCACCACAAAGTTCGACATGGCCTCCATCTTCACTTCCACTGTCAGCTCTTCAGCCGCCGTGTACCGCGGTGGGTTCATTGCCAAGGGCAGCCGCATTCCGCTGTTTATCGACACGATTGGCGCTGTTGTGCCCAGCGAAGCTGCGCCTGGTGACGTTCTTGTGGGCAAGCTGACGATGAGCAGACACACCGCCGACTTTGACTTTGAGTATGTTGTGCCGGCCAAGAGCATCAAGAAGCCAGAAGAGAGCACACCTGCGGCACCAAAGACTGACAAGCCAGAGAGCAAAGAAGAGCAGGACCAGCGCGAAATGAACGAGGCGTTGCGTCGTGTGCGCGTTGACTGGGTCAAGAAATCTCGCGACGACGGTGTGCGTACGCGTCTGGTCACCGATCTTTTGGCCAACAGCAACGACGAACAACGTGCTGAAGTGTTGGCCGCCCAGCTGAGCGCCCTGGATGCCACAAGCTCTGCCCTGCCGTGGAGCGAGGCTGCATGCTTGACTGCTGCTTCGGCAC